CTTGGAGTGGTGTTATACTCCTCGTGAAACGCCTTCAATCTAGGCCAGAGTTGTCAAGGCTAGATTGGCACTAATTGTATTGGGCTGAATACTTTAGTGGAAATCCATTTGAAAGAGAATGGGACTGGATGTAGGAGGATTACACCACCTCTGAACCAGGATACATCGTGTGTTGATTTACTTTAACATATACAAAGCACACAACAAACACTTCTCACAAAAGGATTATAGTTTGCCAGCAGCATCCTAAGCAGTAGTCTTAACTGACCTTACTGCTTATCCTACTGCTTAATAACTCACTCTTCTTGAGACTGTTTTCCACGAAGAAGATTTCATAAACTCAGAAGGTGCCTCAGCAGTACCCTGGTCTTCACCCTCCTGCTGAGCCCACTGCTCATCCATACGTGTCTTTCCAAACTCCATAACAAGCCAGAACAAAAAGCCATCCAAGAGTCATCCTGTTCTTAACAGTTGCCTCAGCAGTAACCTGCTCACCAGCCTACTGCCAAGCCTACTTCCTCTCGTAACCAGTCTAAACATCATCTAAACTAGAAAGTTATCTCACACCAAGTATAAAGAGGTTAAAGACTTCCGCTGTGCATCTATTAATCTCCCAAAAGATTATAGATCAACTTATCTAGAGGGAAAAGTGTTTCAAAATTTAAAAAGCTTTAAAAGTCTATTCACCCCCCCCCCTCTAGACTTTTACCTCTATCCAGGACCATCATTCCGTCACCGAGGCTAAATATGTATGAGACACACAGGTCGTCGGTTTTGATGGGACCGAATCCAAATGCTTTGTATCCTGTTATCATATGTAGTATTAAGTTAATTAAGGAGAAACATTTAGGTATTAATGTGAAACTATTGCTTAAAATTATCCCTAATATTCGAAACGAGACCAAAAGCATATCATCTTCATTCACATATAGCGTATATATAAAGGGGAGAATATGATTAGGGCTACACTGGTTAATGGGTTGAACCCATATGGACCGGGATGTAATAGACATTCACATATTACATAATAGTGCCCCTTGGATGTAGATTGCTAAATAAAATACTCCGTATATTACAAGAAAAAAATATTATTCTTTTTATACACTTTGGTAATGTAATTAACTCTCTCTCTAGGGTTTGCCGCAAGGCCAACCGCTAGTACGTTTCGTCCGTTGTCGGCCTGTGCCGAGGAGCGGGGTTGGTTTTTCCGGCCAATTGTTGTTCATCTTTGAGTTGGAGTCGGAAGGAGGGGCAGAGGCTGATGAAGGTTGATTTGGTCAGACCGGCAGGTCGTGGACGATTTTTGACTGGCGAGTCAAGGCGGCGAAGCGGAGAGCGGAGGGTAGGCTTCTAGCAGGCGAATCAAATAGTTGTACAATTGAGTTTCGTGCTGATAACGTATTAGAAACGAGACCAAAAGCATATCATCTTCAACATCTAGCGTATATATAAAGGGGAGAATAGGATTAGAGCTACACTACTACTTAATGGACTTAACTCATATGGACCGGGATGTAATGGACATTCACATATTACGTAACACCAAATTCATTTTTGTGTACGATCCTGTCCTACGTACACTGAAAAATGAGATTAATATAAGCCAGCTTTTCAATTGGATTATGGGGCAAGGGGCAATAATCAAGTTTTATGAGGATGGAAGACTTACATTTGATGAGCTTGGATTGATACCCAGTTCGGGCTAGTCTTGGATCTTGTGTCATGGGAACAAAACCCAGTTGTTGATTTGTTGTACAGACTGAATTAGTAGCCTGAATTTGTTGGGGGCTCAGTTCTTTCGTTACATTATCTGCTATTTTTATTTCTATATTGAATCAGTAGCCTGAATTAGGAATAATATTAAGTGAATTAAAATCATTTCAAATTACCTAGCTTTTGTCATGAATTTCTAGCTAAAAATGTATAGATCATTTTTGAGAAAATGGTTGATATAATTTTACTCACCTTGCTCCTCGTGTCCTCTAACTAACTTATCCATTGCTTAAAAAAAACTAACATATCCTACCAATTTTAACTTCCTTTAATTAAATTCTTTTCTTATGTCACTTAATGTATTTATCAATTAGTCACAAGTGTTAATGTATTATAAAACCATCAACTAATAACTTGTCATATGTTTTAGGAAAAATTGAAAATATAAATAATATGAAACCATAAAAAACCATCAAGTAATAACTTGTAATAAATATTTTAAATACAATAAAAAGGGAAATGAAATAATAATACATGAATAATTAAGGAGGAGGGGGAGAGGGAGGGGGAGGATGAGGAGGATGAGGAGGAGAGGGAGGATTTTTCTCGAGAGGAAATTATACAAACGACTCTCTTAATAAAGTGAGAATTACAAAACGAGTCGAATAACTTCAATTACTTGTTAAGATGTTTACGGTTTGAATAGAAATTGCTCATTACCTGTTAGAGCATCACCATTCGTAATCTCTAAAAATCAATATATTCTATGATTCTTACCTTTCAAATATTGTTACATAATTAATTTTTAATTAATCTCAAAATCCGTTTATGCATCTCAACCATCATCTTCAAATAACCCGCTTTTTTCTCAGCCATGCATTAACGTATTACATATACTTTTCAAATAATCTTAAAATAATCCGGATTCATATTTTGATCCCGGATTATTCTAGCAAATAATCTCATTAAATAATCAATGTCTCTCAATGATACTCCTCCAAAAAATCCGCCATGTCATCAATTTAATCTCTTAATAATCCTTCCAATGAGGATGCCCTTAGGATGATTACGATTTGAATAAAAATTGCCAATCGAATAATGCGGTGGTTAGACTACGAGGAAATTACCTCACAAGGTAAATAAAGTTATATTCATATTATTTCCGGATCCACCCCATAGTCGTCTATATTGGCACTATAATACTCCCTCCGTAACTTTAAAATCTTCCCATTTGAAAAGTAGGTAGATTAAGAATAGTGAAAAAGAATATGAATTATTGAGGGTATAATAGGAAGATAGTGGAATAAAGTGATGGAATGTAGGATAAATCCAAAAAAAGTAGTTGTAATAGTGTATTATTTTCAAAATTATTGAGGGTATGATGGGAAGATTTAGAAATGTGAAGATTTTTTTGTTACGGACGAAAAAGGAAAGTGGGAAGATTTTAAAGTTACGGAGGGAGTAGAAATTAACATTCATTCAAAGATTTTCGATTTGTATAAACACTGTTTTGAACGTTTGGATTATTATAATACAACAACATCCACGCGTTAATCCGAAAAGGTTTGGGGTCACCTAACATAAAAAAAATTGGGTCTTAGCGATAATTTAACTCGCAACCTCAGTCTCTCACACACAACACAACAACTGCACCAGTGCACCACCAAGCTAACTCATTCTAATGAGTTTTTCCAATGTTACGGATTTTTTTTTTTTTTGAGTTATTGGAAGACTAAATGTATAGTATTATATGTTTTGTAATGATTAGAAGATTATTGCAAAATATTTTTTATGAGATTGGGATAGAAATGATTGTACAGTCCTAAGCTACTTGAGTAGGAACAATAATTTTTTTATTGTTATAATGGACTTTGTAAGTTTTGTAATGCAATTTAATGTTTAGAAAGGTACTTCGTAAATCTTTAATTGAATAAAGTTTTGTTAGTCTTTCACCCGTGCGTTGTACGGGGTAATAAATTACGAAATTACTAGTTTTACTAGTCTTTCACCCGTGCATTGCACGGGGTAATAAATTACGAAATTACCCATGAAGCCGTCCAATTTGCCAAGTCAATTGTGTTGACTTGAAATTCACATCTTGATTCTGTGTAAGGAGGTGTTTGGAACTAATTCTGCTTCTGTTTTTTTTAAACAGAAGCAGAACCAGTTTTCAGAAGTTGATCTCCCCCAGCTTCTTAAAAAACTGATTCCAGAAGTAAGTTAGAGCATCAGAATTACTTCAGCACTTTTATCCAAACACCCCAACTTCTGTTTCTGCTCTCTGAAGGAGCAGAAGCAGTTTTAAGAATCAAATCCAAACACCCTCTAAGTATGATACTCAACACCAATCAATTTGTGTATTGTATTTAATTAAGTGTGTACACAATATATTTAAACACAAATTAGCCATTTTGCTCTATTTCAACATATTTCCAAGGCAAAAAATAGTGAATCTTTGGTTTCATTGCAAATGATGAAAATGCCAAAGTTTAATCCAACATAAATATATTCGATGAAGGTGAGACTTTGGGCAAATTTGCTCCTATAACTCATGGAAACATTTTTGAGTTTCTATATATCATAAATTTAATCTTCTCTTGAAGTTGTAAAGATAAAGAACAATTGATTACCGGGGACGGAGCCCCACAGCCCACTCTCTATCTGTCAGATTGTGATTATAGTCCAATTTACATCCTCTCATTGTGTCACCCGGTCATTGTTGGGGGGGCTCAGAGATGGGTGTCATCCGTTTTTATAAAGAACAATTGATATGTTATTGACAACAATGACAAAGTAAAGAGTTATACGAATAAACTTGTACTACAACAAATCTTCTCTATGGATCCAAGTTGCACTATCCCAAATGGTTTAACCAATATTACTGTAATTATTTGAAAATAAAGCTGAAATTAGATTACTATACAGAATCATGTTTCTATTATAAGTATATATAGTATATACTTATATATAATTAGATTACTGCATTCCGAATAATTTTGAATGCAGAATTTTGATTATTGGATGAATTAGATTACTTATTCAGAAACAATACATTTAGATTTACTGCAGAATTTTCCGAATTAGAAACAATAAAGCTGAAATTAGATTATTCCGTGTCATATATTCAAAAATATAGTCTAATTTGAATATTAGACTAATATATATACTATATATAGTCCAATATTGGACTATATAATCATGTTTTATTGCTTATAACTTTACCACTTATAAGCAATAAGTTATTAACTTATAATCATGTTTTTGAACATGCATCCTAAACCTGATACTTTAAAAATTGCTTATGCACAGACTATCTTAAGGGATAAAACATTTTGCACATTCATTGTGTATAACCTCCCACTCAATAGAACATACATATATCCATTTAAAACTTTATATTATATTCGATGTAGTAGATCTCTTGTGCGTCTGGGTCTTTTGATGCAGCACATGGAATTTGTCCTTCAGTGTGAATTGCTCAATATAGCAAAAGGTCAGTATCAGCTAAATCCAAATCTGTTCCTGCTCTTTTCATACAATCAATTCACTTTATTAAGACTTAAAAAATACAATAGCTTTTAATAACTTGAATGAAACAGACATGAAAAAATTGATACATTTGCTAAGAACTGCTTTACAGAATTTCTTATTCTCAAATATGCTATAAAAAACAGGTTATACAATTGTTTTTATTAAATAACTCATATTGATTCACACATATTCTGCTTCCGGGGAACAAATTCGAATCTTATATTGTACTAGTATCAATCAATTAGATCTTTATTGGATTATCAACTTACCTTATCTGGAATTTCATCCAATGATCCAATCCCCTCCTGCCTTTGCTAATCTTGCCATTACGAGCATGAATTCTAGTACCCTAAATACACGCACACAAAAAAATGAAATGTTAGAAAAACATGAAATAATAATGAGAAGTAACTAATTTAAAACGGTTCTTCCTATTTCACCATGGAATATGCAGTCCAAATAAGCTGGTGAGAATCGTGGGCAGGAACATCCCATACTCATGTGGCACAATGTTTGACAGTTCATGTGGGTTTGCTTTGATCCATATTGCATGCGTTCTATGGAGTATTATTTATATAGAAGAACTGGACGTTGGGAAGACACACCATGGGGAAGCCAAAAATTAATGTTGCAATGGGAATCCCATTCATCAGCCAATGAGAAGGCATACTTTTAGAAAATTGATCGGCTAAAAATATGATTATGTGATTACTTAAGTAGGAATACTCCTTTTATTACTTTGTATTATTTTACCTCTGAATTGAAATACACAATATCTCGATATGCTCAATTCCAATACTCCATAAATTACCTCTTTAGCCATTAAATATTTTTTTTCGATGGCCTCTCCACCTACTACCGCCGCAGACGTCCATCATTACAAACGATGTTCCGGTCTCGCCGCTTTCTTCTTCGTGGGTACCGCCTATTTTTACTTGGACTCCGACGCCACCAACGATGCAGCCGCCTATGCCGCCGCTGTTTCCAGCCGACTCGCACGCCGAGTCAAGTGCTGCCGGTGCTGCTCGAGCCAGATTCGCCGGTCCCACACTATCCGGCAGTCCCGGGTTGTTCATGCCACAACCGACTGGGCATATTGGGCATCGCCCGGTAGATAATTCTCTTCCTGTTTCTTATGCTACTTTGGCTCAAGGTATGACTTTTGGAGCCTCAATTACACAAATTGTGACCTCCAAATTGCTAAAAGTCGAAGATTATCTGCCCTGGCGAACCCAATTTGAGTCTTTTCTGGTGGCCAACGGTCTTTTGGGCATTCTTGATGGGTCTCTGCCACCTCCGCCTCTGTATATCTATGATTTATATCAGGCTCAATCTATTAATCCTGAATATCATCATTGGTTGAAATTGGACCAAACTGTGCGTGCTTGGTTATTTGCTACCCTATCCCGTGAAATTTTGATGGAGGTTCATACCTTGTAAAATTCTTTTGCTATTTGGGAACGATTGGAGTCTCGATTCATGGCTGCCAGTCTTGCTCGCGCCATGGAGTTGAAGCAGATGTTGTCTCACACCAAAAAGAAGGAGAATCAATCCATGGAGGAGTACGTTCGTGGAATTCAAACTCTTGCTGATAATTTGGCCTCCATCAACTCGCCGGTCTCCAATGCCGATCTCATTCAATACACTCTTTTAGGATTGGGACCAGGATATGAATCACTGGTTGGACCCTTGACCTTGTTTCCTGAAGGGCTCACTTTTGACAAATTGGGTACCAAATTGGTTCATCAAGAGGCACGTCTACGCTACCAACAGTCCCTGGAACCGATGGCTAATACTCCGGCTTTCGCTGCACCTTCCTCGGCAGGGGGTGGACGTGCCGGCTCTTCCTCCAGCGATCCACAGCAGCAACAGCCCGCTCGAGGAGGACATGGCGGTCGACGCGGAAACCGAGGCCGTGGTCGTGGCCGTGGCCGCGGCAGGTACCAGCAGCAGCAGTCCGGGTACGGCCAGCCTCCGGCCTACTACGGTCAGGCTCCGCCACATCCACAGCAGTCATTATCCGGCCGAACGCCTCCTCCGCCAAATCATTGGGGTCCTGGTACAGTTTTATGTAATACGATTGAGTCATCGTTTTCTACTCCTGCTCTATCGACTTTTTGTACTAATTATGCTTCTGCAGGATCTTCATCTTTTGAGAATAATTTTGCTTCAGTTCCTCCACCTGTCGTTTGTCAAATTTGTCACTCTCCAGGCCACTCAGCTGTTTCATGTCCATCTCGCTTTGTTCAAACTCCGACTCCTGCACTTGCTGTCTCCACGGGTGAATCCACTCCAGCTGTTTGGTATCCTGACTCAGGTGCTTCCGCTCATATGACCCCAAATGAAGGTATTTTGCATAATAAATCTGTCTATTCTGGACCACTCAAAATTACAGTTGCTAATGGCTCTAATCTTCCTGTTATGACTACTGGTAATTTGCATTTAGCTACTAAACCACGGCCTCTCCATTTAAAAACGGTTTTTCATGTACCTAATCTTAAATATAATCTTCTATCCATCCAACGATTGTGTGCTGATAATAACTGTTTTGTGATTTTTGATAAAAATTCTGTCTATGTCAAGGACACAATTTCGGGGAAGGTGCTCCTCCAAGCTTCCAGTAATGGTGGCGTTTATCCTATTTCTATCACTCAGCCATCCTCAGTTGCTCTTAGTTCTCAAGCTGCTCCCGGGCCTATTTGGCATCGTCGTTTGGGCCATTGTGGAAGTCGCATTTTAGATAGATTAAAAAAAATCTGGCAGTGTTCTTAGTACTTCTAATTTTTCTCATAATTGTATTTCTTGTCGGTTAGGAAAATCACAACGATTACCGTTTCAAGAAGTGTGGCATAAATCTACTACTCCTTTGTTTTTAATTCATTCTGATGTTTGGCAGTCTCATGTTCTTTCTTCAAGTGGCTTCAAATATTATGTTTTATTTATTGATGATTTTTCCCGTTTTACTTGGCTTTATCCCATGCGCAATAAAAGTGAAGTGGTGAGACACTTTCAGCATTTTAAATCTATGGTGGAAAATTTACTTGATGCTAGAATTAAAATTTTTCAAAGTGATGGAGGGGGTGAATTTGATAATCATGCTATGCGCGAAATTTTTACCAAAAATGGTATTTTATTTCGTAAATCATGCCCCGACACTCCTGAACAAAATGGAGTAGCTGAGCGCAAACACCGGCATATACTTGAGTTAACTCGCACTATGCTCTTTGATGCAAAGTTGCCAGCTAATTTTTGGGTAGATGCTGTGTTTACCGCAATTTTTATCATTAATAGGCTACCTACTCCAAATTTAAATGGCATATCTCCGTTTGAAAAATTATTCCACCAATCTCCTGACTTCTCTTTTATGCGTGTTTTTGGTTGTGCTTGTTTTCCAAACTTCAATGCCACTTCTGCCAATAAACTGTCTCCTAGATCCACCTTGTGTGTCTTTTTAGGATATGCCCCTGAATACAAAGGTTATCGTTGCTTTAATCCAATTACTGACAAGATTTACATAAATCGGAATGTGCGTTTCTTTGAAAATTATTTTCCTTATTCCGATTTAATTTCAAAACATAACAAGGACACTTCCACAATGCCCATTGACAGCACGGTGAGTATGCACGACCTCCATAACTTCCGGCCACCTCTACCACCACCTACAGCGCCCAACCACCAGCCGCATCCCCCCAATCACTGCCCACCTGTAACCGGCAGTCGCAACCCCCCTCACCAGCCCACTGCTGCGGACAGCAGCACCACACCAGACCGCAGCAACCCCCCCACTCCTGCGGATAACAGCAGTAACTCAGACTGCAGCCAGCTGCAACCCACACCTTCTTCCGAACCTATAGCCTCCTTACCGCCGCCCCTCTCCGATCACATCAACAGCCACAGCAGCCCGAGCCCGAGCCCGAGCCCTTCTCCAACTGCACCTTCTCCTAAAAATTGTCATCCTATGCAAACTCGTGCCAAGGCAGGTATTTTTAAACCCAAAAATATTTTTACTCTCAAAACAGATACTTCGGCATGTGATCCTTCTTGTTTTTCGATGGCAAATAAAGATGCTAAATGGAGAACCGCAATGGCTGAGGAGTTTAATGCACTTATTGATAATCATACTTGGGATTTAGTTCCATTTAATGCTAGTAAAAATGTGGTCGGGTCTAAATGGATTTATAAAACAAAATTTAATGCTGATGGATCTGTTGAGCGCTATAAGGCACGTCTGGTTGCACAGGGATTTACTCAGCAAGCTGGTGTGGATTTTTCTGAAACTTTTAGTCCTGTTGTTAAACCTACTACTGTCTGTATTGTTTTATCTCTTGCTGTCTCGTATAAATGGTCTATTCGTCAGTTAGATGTCAAAAATGCTTTTCTTCATGGTAATCTGACTGAAGAAGTGTATATGCGTCAGCCTCCTGGGTTTGTTCATCCTCAGTTTCCTAATCATGTTTGCAGGCTTCGGAAAGCTATCTATGGTCTTAAACAAGCTCCACGAGCTTGGTTTTATCGGTTCAGTAGTTTTTTATTAACCCATGGTTTTGTCTGTAGTAAGTCTGATAATTCTCTCTTTATTTACCGCCATGGGTGTCATATTCTCTATCTTCTCTTGTATGTGGACGACATTATTATCACTGGTAATTCCCCTTCCTTTATTTCCACTTTTATTTCTTGTCTTGGTCGTTGTTTTGCCATGAAGGATTTGGGGGATCTACATTTTTTCCTAGGTGTCCAGGCTATTCGGACAAATTCCGGTTTGTTTTTATCTCAGCAAAAATATGTGTCTGATCTATTAACCAGGTTCCATCTTCACACTCTTAAACCTGTTCGTACTCCACTTCCTACGCGGACTAAGTTATCTCTCACTGATGGAGACCTGCTTGCAGATCCTACTGAGTACAGAAGTATGGTAGGTGCTTTGCAGTATTTGACTATGACTCGACCTGATATTACATTTGCTGTTCACCTGGTCTCTCAGTTTATGCATGCACCCCGTACTACTCATTTATTAGCTGTCAAGCGTATTTTCAGGTATCTTCAGGGGTCAGCTGCTCACGGCCTGCTTCTTCAGTCCAGCACTTTTTCTCCGACTTTGCAGGCTTATTCTGATGCTGACTGGGCTGGGTGTCCTGACAGCAGTCGGTCCACTTCGGGATTTGCTGTTTTCTTCGGTCCAAATTTAATCTCGTGGAAGTCCAAGAAGCAGCCCACTGTCTCCAGATCATCTACAGAGGCAGAATATAGAGCTATTGCATACACAGTTCAGGACACACTGCATATTCGATCCATCCTGTTCGAATTAGGCATCTCCATCCGAGAACCAGTCCAGTTATTATATGACAATGTCTCAGCTTCATACTTGTCCACTAATCCCATTCAGCATGCTAGGAGCAAACACATCAGTATTGACTATCACTTTGTTCGAGAGCGAGTTTCACATGGAGACCTGATTGTTCGTTATGTCCCTACTCAGTTCCAGTTAGCAGATATTTTTACTAAATGTCTGTCACCACAGCGTTTTATTTTTCTTAGGGACAATCTGCGCATTGTTTCCCCTGCACAGCTTGAGGGGGTGTAATAGAGTAATTAATACCCATTAATTAGGTTTCCATCTTTATGTAGTTTCCTAATGTATTCAGGACATATTTTTATTATATATATGACACCTAGGGCTACCACATTGGTAAGCCTTCTCATTATTCTCACAATACGATGGTTTGAATGCTTTTATTGGAAAACTCCGTTGCATTGCACTATTGCCAGGGGCGGACCGTAGTACAGACCCAGGGGCCGCCGCACCCCCCCAACAAATTTTTATTTTTACCCCCCAACATTTAATTCTCGCCCTTCCAAGAAAAATTTTGAACCCCCCAAAAAATATTCAAAGCCCACTCACAGAAACCCAATTGTTTAAGAGCCTAAAAAAATATAAAGTTTACAAGTAATATTATATCAACTCACTCCAAAATTTATTCCCCATTAACCCACCCCAAAATCTAATCCCAGCCCACCGCCCAGACCAAACTAATGAAAAACATGCGCACCTAGAAGAAAGAAACGGAAGATCGATTATTTTTAAATGATTGTCCTTATGCCTACTAGACTTTTGTTGACTCTACCGGTTTCGACAACAACAACCGAAAGGACTTTTTCCGCAATGAAAATTATAAAAACAAGGCTTCGCCTTAAAATGGAGGATGAGTATGTTGCAGACAACCTATTGTTTATATTGAAAGAGAAATTGCTAAAACTTTTAACTAAAAAGACGTGATTGAGAAATTTATCTCGTTGAAGAAGCGTTGGGTACAATTCTAAGGTACTAACTTTAACTATTTTGTAATAATATATTCGTCTCTTCTTCTATTATAATGCTTCATTTAATTACTACTTCGTATTATATTAAGGTTATAACTTATAATAATAATAATAATCGTCTAGATTTTTTTTGTTTAAATTGTCGCCCCCAATATCATTTTTGTGGGTCCGTCCCTGACTATTGCAGTACATTTTCTCTCCATGCACAACTTTCGGTATGGCTCAATGTTTTGGATAAGGCACATTGGGTAGAGAAACATTATTATTAGTGTGGACACTTGAATAGTTGAATGCACACATCTGAGTATTCATCTCCTCGAATGTTAATTGGTTTGGATTGTTCTTTATATTAGGAAAATGACCTCGAATAAGAGCTGCCGGGAATTGTCGGCTGAAGTTTTTGGCGCTATCTTCCTCTGGAAGATTTCTTTTGCTATTATATTTATATAGATATAGATATAGATTCTTCTCAAACACTACTAACTTTTACTAATAAAGCATTATCTCCAAAATCACTTTAAAAGTCACTTTTTTAAATAGAAGCAATCACAAACACTCCCTAAATAGTGATACATATTAGGGAACCGAAATAGGAGTAAAAATGTTTAAAATTTCCAAATGGAATTGTCATGTTTTTATTCCACAAATAAGAGTAATTAATACCAAACATGTAAAATACTGTCATGTTTAAATTTTGGTACTGTCAAAATATGATAGTTCTATTTTGGATTACACAAACGTTTGTAGTCCTAATTAGAGCAATTTCTCAATATATTATAGATCAGCTTCATTCAGTGTCATGATATAACTAATTGGATCAAAGAACACATAAATGCATCTAGGCCTGGACTCGGGCCGGTTCGGGCCCGGTTCGGGCCCGGTTCGGGCCCGGTTCGGGCCTGGGCCCGGCCGGGCCTCGGGCCAGGAAATGGGAGCCCCGGGCCCGAACCGCCGGTGGCCGGTTCCGGTTCCGGGCCAAACCGGGCCGGGCCGGGCCGAACCGGCCCACTTAATTTTTTTTTTTTGTTCTCCTATTTAATCCCCTACCCCTCCCCCTCAACCCCAAATCACCCCAAACCACCTAAAATGGCCCAAAATACCTATTCCAACCCAAAACTTTAAAAAAATTTCAAAAAAAAAAAATTTAAATCCGGCCCGGACCGGGCCCGAACCGGCCGGGCCGGTTCACCATTTGGAAGGCCCGGGCCCGGAACCGGGAACCACCGGGCCGGTTCGACCCGAACCGCCGGTGGACCGGGCCACCGGGCCGGGCCGGTTGCTACAGTGGCCGGGCCGGGCCGGTTCCGGGTCGGGCCGCCCGGCCCGAGTCCAGGCCTAAATGCATCTCAATAAAAGTGACTAAATTTCATATTCAACCCGTAGAACTAAAATCTGGAGTTATAGATGAAACTTTAGATAATTTTCAGATGGTGATATAGTATTTGAAAGATAAATAAAAGAATTAGAACTATTGGCTAAAAAAGCAGTATGAAGAAGATCCTTTTCTTTCACTTTCTGTTAGCATAAATTTGTATTGTCTTGAATTTTGTGAATTTGAAAGTTTGTAGAAAACTAAGAAAAAGTTAAACATCGGAGGATTATGTTATGCCCCTAAATGTTTAAAACATTTTTTTCTG